GTTAACTGACAACTCTAAGTTGTCTCTAGGTGTGTGTGTGTGTGTGTGTGTGTGTGTGTGTGTGTGTGTGTGTGTAGGGCCCAGGGACCTTTCTGGGTAGTTTGCATTTCTCTCCATGCATGCATGTGTTCTCCCACAGACCAAAAACATGACTGTTAGGTTAATTGGTAACTCTAAGTTGTCTCTAGGTGTGAGTGAGTGAGTGAATGGTTGTCAGTCTTGTTTGTCTCTATGTGGACCTGTGATGGACTTTGTTTTCCCCTGCACCTCACACAGTGTCTGCTGGATAAAGGCACCAGTGACCCCCATGATCCTAAAAGGAAGAAGCGGGTACGGATAATGGATGGATACTTTGAATATAAACAACATCTCCCATAATGTACATTGTTGATTATTTTATGATGGCATCGCACTACTAGGTGGAGGTGCACAGGGTTCAAAAGTAGCAAAATGCATCTTGTTCAATCTTCATTTTGCTGCATTTTTGCCATCTACTTCAGCTCAGTTGTACTGGGAAGTAGGAATATTCCAGTTACAATATATAAATTCAAAATGAAATGCTGTCTCCAGTTGGAAAAGCAGCTACTCACCACAACTCAATGCTTCTACTTTTAATTTTATTTGAATTTCTGTATTATTTATTTCAGATTTAGTCAGCTGTCCATGTAGTACTTGTCGGTGTTAAAACACTGTTTTTTGGTTTTGAATTAGAGTAGTGGTGGARGGGAAACTGGCACCATGCCGGCCTCTGCGTCTTCTTCTTTCCCTTTTTAATTACTCTATAGAAATCAAAAGGAAAAAATTTGTATAGGTCCTCTGGACGGGTTCTTCTTTAATGAAACGTTTCGTCTCTCTTACAAGAGACTCCGTTTGTGTTGTTGTGTTGCCTCCATTTTCAGTTGTCCCCCTCCTACAGCGCTGCCATTGGCAGTATTGCTCCACCCACTGTTAACAATAGGTGTTAATTAGGTGTGAACGATAGCCATGTGATGTGAGTATCAGTCACCTGGAGACAGGGCTCAAAAGCCTGAATTTTGCCTGAAACTCTCAGACTGAATAAGTCTCTTGGAAGAGAGACGAAACGTTTCATTAAAGAAGAACCCGTCCAGAAGACCTATACAATTTTTTTCCTTTTGATTTTTTACCTGGATTACTGAGATGCATCAGGATACTCTATAGAACAACACGCACAAACAGTACATCTGGGGGTGGGGGTGTGGGTGTCAGGGTCTTTATTCCCATCCCATTCCCCGACTGCCATTTAAGGACGGGGTCCTGAAGAAGGGCGGGCCACCGGGTGTGGTCCTGGGCTGTGGGTGGGCTCAGGGCTTGGACGGTTGCTGGGGGCGGGGCTGGCTCTCCATCCTCCCTGGTGCTGCTTGGTCTCCTGAGGTGTGACTCTTGGTTCCTGTGGGTGGCCCCCTGGCCGGGGTGGCTGCCAGGTTCCGGGGGGTGGACAGCTAGGGGGGTGCACTTGGTCGTTGGTGGTGTGTTGTCATGGGT